TTAAATTTCATTTAGTATTATTCTAATACTAAAATTTTTCATATGGCCCATGGAATTGTGGGATTTAGGGCCTAGCTAGTGTTTTCGGTGTCTAAATTTGTCAAGATAAAAGAAAACAACGTGGATTTCCGTATGAATAATCAGTATCTAGAGCTAGTAATAAAGCAGAAAATTTCAAGCTTCGTCCTCTCATTGTTAAAGGTATGGATGACTTTTAATGCAGTGGAAAATAAATTCATTTCTTCTTACTATGAAGTTCCTTGCAATTTTTTTCGAATTTATCTAGTTTGCCTTCTGCTGAAGACATTTTTTGGAACATATGCAATACAAGTTTGATTCCGGGCAGAGGTTTCTATGGTTTAACTATAGCATTCTATAGAAAGATATCTAATCCAAATGAGGAGTGAACATCTCAGCGTTTTTTTTTCATCTTTATTTGTAGAATGCAAATGCCAAGCTTCACAGAAGTCAGACTGCATTTTGAAATTAACCCTGTTCCAATGCAATGAATTTTCACCTGAATATATTCAATGAAACTTCTGTTGATGTGTATCTTTGCAGCCTGGCAATTCTACCAAGATTAATCACACTGGAGTTTAAGTACAATGTTAAACATAATTCATTTGTGAGGCAGAAAGGAGTTTAAGTTCCAGTACAACACTTCACACATCACTAACTTGCTTTTTTCTTTTTTTTTAAAAAGTATTTTATGGCTGAATTTAGCTCCATCTTGCTGCACTTGTCCTATTTTCCAATGGTAAAAAATTAGTGGTGAAGTTTTGCCTTTATTTTGTAGAGGATGGAATTCTCCTCAGGATTTGCCTGAAGCACACATTCTATATTAAGCCAAATAAAACTAAATGTATCCTTAAAATTAAGCTGGTGCTTACTTCCTATGCTTAATAAAAATGAAGTAAGCATGCACTTAAGTATTTGTTGGGATTGAAGTGTGCTTGCTGAGTTAGAGGATAGAAGTTTTGGATTAGTTTTTAACAGCCCTCTTCATACAAACACAGATGGAGCATTCGAATGTCCTGATTGCTCACATGTCTTCATGATCTGTAGCCAGGATCTGGTATGGATTTTTTTAGTGCAGTCAGAGCAGGACTTCATCTGGAAAGCAGCAGATGGAAGGGAGGGAAGGGATCCAAGTTTTTAATCCTTTTTTTTTTCTTTTCTGAACAGATGTTGTTGAGATGATCGAGCTACAGAGCCACAAATCCAACCAAAAAGTGGGTAAAGAAATAGATAAAAACATATGTTGATATTTGGCATATGGTTAATCAGGCAGGCAACAATCACCTACTGCTGACACAAACATCCACCTTGCATATGATGGAGCTGACAGGATTTTTAAGATTACTGTAGATGAAGAATTTAATTCTGTGTACCCTTCTGATTTCTCATTCAGTCAAGAGAAAAGCTAACCACAACACCAATACTTTAATAACAGTCAAATGGCTCAGCACAGGACCCCGAAGCTGGCCAATAGCACACAGTAAAGTACATGGAATTTTCCTAAAAGGAGGGGAAGGTTATACGGTATGGCCCAGGTTCACAGATTTCAGTTCAGGGCAATAATCTCACTAACACCCGTCAGGTGGGATACTAAATGCATGGAAGAATAATTGTATGGGATAGGATTTACTGACGAGTTAAGAAGTGACATTTTTCTGACTATTAATCCTCAGCAAAAGATAAGGCCATTAAACGAGAATTGCAGGATATGCTGATCTCAACATGATGGTCAAGATGGTCAAGATCTTTAAAAAGAAAATTCAAGACTTTGATGACAGTTCCTTCGAAGTAAACTGTAAATGAGATGTGCTTCATTTTCATTATTTGTAAAACTCCTCAGTTAAATTAAATATATGCAAAATTTTGAAAAAGTTACTAATTACAGCTTATTAAAGCTTGTTCTACCTAGTAACTTCCCTGTTGGAATTCAGTAATTATGAACGAAGGGGATCCCAACAGGCACCTGTTTTACACTTGAAAGCTCAGAATTATTGCTCTATAGTAACACTTTGTGTTATGTAACGAAAGTCAAAGGAGGAATTATACAGCAATATTTCTGTTATCTTGTCTGGAAAGACCAGAAACGGAATTTGTATTGGATGGGACTGGTTGTTGTCACTGTACAAACACTAATGGCTGCAACATCTGTGGGCCTAAAGAAATAACAGAATAGGCAAAATACCCACACTGAAACAGTATTTACCCCTTTTTCAAAAAAATGCTTCCAGATCCTTAGGTGAAAAAGCATTTAACTGCAAACCATTATACTATATGTACTAAAAATTTTCTGGTATCATCTAGGTCATATTTGACTGACCACATGGAATAAAGTTTTCTTAATTTTTTGAGGTATGAACAAACTACAGTAACAGAAAATAGTAACAGTCTACATAAAAGATGTTCAAGTTTGTGGGTTTTTTTAAATCCAGGAGGAAACTCACCCTGAATACTGAAGGGTCTATGATTCATTAATTTTTGTTCCAGATGAAAAAACCTTAAACCTAACACAGTTAAACATCAGAAACGCCTAGAAAAGATTTTTGTGAGGAATATCATAGATAAGCAGATGACATTAAACAAAAATTAGGTCAGAGAAGACTTCTCATAACACGGAAATTCTCTTATTTGACATATTTCACGCTCCTTGTCTTTATGGAGTTGGATATTTTACCAAGATTCTGGAGTACCTTATAGACACTCAGTTAGAAATTTTGCTGAATAAAATCATTCATTTTCTAAAACAGTCATAAACTTTGCATAAAATAGCTTTATTTAGACAAAGTAAAAGCCATTGCTTCCCATGTCATACATATGCTCATGGATTCCACCAAAACCTGCCTATATATCTAGCATTTTCTATAGAGACCCTTACCCTTGTCCTGATCACGTGCCAGAAAGAGACAGAAGTTAGAAGGGCAAACTAAAACATAAACATTTTGTGGAAATCGTTGTAGCCAGGAAAATGAATCTGAACTATTTAAATAAATCAAAACTACAATTTCTGGTTTTTAAAAACAGACAGCAAAACTCTCTGTAGGGAACTTGGCAAAAAAAGGGCTCCAGAAAGAGGCAAGAATGGAAAAGGAAGGATGGCCTACAGAAAGCTATTTGGATATGAAGGACTTAAAGCTATAGTTTTATCAGAATTGAAGTGGGGAGACATGATGGATTAATTTCACAAGATTGAAAGGGAAGGCTACATGGTAACATGAAAATGAGAAGAATATAAGGAAATTAAAGAAGGAAGATGCAAAGCATTCTGGTTAAACTGTAGGATCACAAACCCTTGTACAGCTCCTACCAGGCAATCACCATGCCAAAAAAGATAATGACAGAATCACAGAATAATGGAGCTTGCAAGGGACCCCTGGAATTAGTCTCATTCAACACTCAACAAGTAAACAAAATAAGAAAACTCAAAAAGTACAACAAAAACCCTGCAAATAACTGCCAAAAAAAATTATAACATGATACAAAGGGGAATAGATGCGCAAGTACAGGATGAGGAAATGGATAAACATGTTGATAGCAATAACTGTATCAAAACCAATGTAATGTGATAAAAGCCAATCCAGAACGGATTTCTGGTTAAGATCTAAACAGTAAGTCATTCAAGTGGAAACAGAACAAGACGCTTCCAATGCATTTACAATAAATTGTCTAAATAGATTCATAATATTCCCTGTATTGGGTTTGTGTGGTAAGGTTTTGGTAGCCGGGGGGGCTACAGGGGTGGCTTCTGTGGGAAGCTGCTAGAAGCTTCCCCGATGTCCGATACAGCGCTGTGCCCACAGACGACCCTGCCGCTGGCCAAGGCTGAGCCCATCAGTGGTGGTGGTAGCGCCTCTGGAATAACGTGTTTAAGAAAGGGGAGAAAATACCATGCATGATAGAAACTGCAGCTGGAGAGAGGAGTGAGAATATGTGAGAGAAACAGCCCTGCAGACACCAAGGACACTGAAGAAGGCGGGGGAGACCGAAATTCCCCTGCAACCTGTGGTGAAGACCACGGTGAGGCAGGCTGTGTCCCTGCAGCCCACGGAAGTTAATGGTGGAGCAGACATCCGCCTGCAGTCCACGGAGCAGATGGGTGCCTGAAGGAGGCTGTGACCCCATGGGAAGCCGACGCTGAAGCAGGTTCCTGCCAGGACCTGTGGACCCATGGAGAGAGAAGCCCACGCTGGAGCAGGTTTGCTGGCAGGATTTGTGACCCCATGGGGGACCCACGCTGGAGCAGCTCATGAAGAACTGCAGTCCCGTGGGAAGGACTTGCGTTGGAGAAGTTCATTAAGGACTGTCTCCCGTGGGAGGGACCCCAGGCTGGAGCAGGGGAAGAGTGTGAGGAGTCCTCCCCCTGAGAAGGAAGAAGCGGCAGAAACAACGTGTGATGACAACCCCCATTCCCTGTCCCCCTGTTCCACTGGTAAGGGAGGAGGTAGAGAAATCAGGAGTGACATTGAGCCTGGGAAGAAGGGAGGAGTTGGGGGAAGGTGTTTTAAGATTTAGTTTTATTTCTCATTGTCCTACTCTGATTTGATTGGTAATAAACTGATTTTCTCAAGACGAGTTTGTTTTGCTTGTGATGGCAACTGGTGAGTGATCTCCCCGTCCTTATGCCTTTCATTGTATTTTCTCTCCCCTGTCCTGTTGAGGATGGGAGTAATACAGTGGCTTGGTGGGTACCTGGCATCCAGCCAGGGTCAACTCACCATACCAGGAAACATTATGATGCGCAGAGAACAAGGCTGGATTCACTTCACAAGATGAAATACTGCTTTAATTTAGCATTAATCATGAAGACAAATCATGAACATTCCAGTCAGTTTTTGAAGGTACTGTGTGGAAGACTTGGTGTTAACAGGATTTCTATGGTCTAGTTTTGAGGAAGAGAGGAAAAGATGCAAAACAATCATAAAACGGTAAAAAAATTTCATTATACTTTCCCGATTTCCAGTCAAGTGAATGTTCATAGATATTAGAAATTAATCATATGCTGGTAAACCAAACAGTTCTGGTTTGAAATCCTCCATGGAGTTCAGCAGCAGTGTTGCCTCCTTTTTAAGATCTGGATTTAATTTTTCATCTGGAATCATAACCACTTGCA